CGCGCGAAAAAATCGAAAAGGGTGTACGAGATGCCCATGCGGAATTGCTTCGCCTTCGGCAGGAGGAACCAAAGAATGGCGCGGGGCACGCGTTCGTCGCTTCCGGTGGTATCCGGGGCGATGGACGTGTCCAAAATGGGTCGAGTGGAAACGGCGGGAGACAGGACGGAGACGGAGGCGCCCAGAGTCGGAGCAGGAGGAGGGTGGAAACAAGAAAGCAGGAGAGAGAGTAGCCGACAGCGACCACTGCTACCTACATCCGCACTTGTCCCACACCAACGCCCAGTGCCTCAGCCTTCGCCAGACTATTACCAGCAACAGCCGTACTACCCGCCTCCGACGTCGTACTACCAGCAGCAGCAGCCACCACCGCAGCCTCCGCCACCGCCGTCGTTTCAGCCGCAGCAGCAGCAGCAGCAACAGCAACACTTCACCCATGCCCCGCCCCAGTCGCCTTCTCCCGGAGCAGCAGCTTTTCCGCCTGGGCATCTGCACTCCCTGATGGCACACTTTGTGTCCGCTGACGAGATGAGTTCGCTTTCGGTTTCGAATGATGTAGGCAGTGTCGCATGTGGTGATCTTGGTTTTGCTTTGTCTGCCCAGAGTTGCGATTACAGTCCTGGTAGGGAGGTATTTTGGTCGGATAGCGGTGCAAGCAACCATTTTGTGAGTAACAGCTCCAAAATGTACAACATCTCGCCTGTTCCCCCCGGCAAAGAATACATCAGAGTAGGCAATGGTGCTCATTTGCGCGTGGAGTGTGTCGGTAGTGTCAATCTGGCATTCCATATGGCAGGAGGCCGCTCGGGAGAAGTGGATTTTTGTGCCCAATTGACAGACGTGTACGTGGTGCCAGGAATTTCGTTCAACTTGTTCTCCCTGCACCAAACGCAGAAAAAGCACAGGATAGTGTTGGATGAGAGGGGTGTGCACCTTTTCGGCGGTCGGCTTAGTTTCGCATATTCGGATATCGGATGCTCTCTATCGGCCACCCGCTTGCCCCCCTCGTACCGCGACGGTGATGTAATCCCCTCTACCGTTGTCCCTCCCCCCGTTGTCCGCCAAGCGTCTCCGCCTGGCGTTGGCACCGGCCTTTTCGCCCAAAAAACCCTCCCCCTTCTCGNGCCTGTTCCCCCCGGCAAAGAATTCATCCGAGTAGGCAATGGTGCTCATTGGCGCGTGGAGTGTGTCGGTAGTGTCAACCTGGCATTCCCTATGGCAGGAGNTGGCACACTTTGTGTCCGCTGACGAGATGAGTTCGCTTTCGGTTTCGAGTGATGTAGGCAGTGTCGCATGTGGTGATCTTGGTTTTGCTTTGTCTGCCCAGAGTTGCGATTACAGTCCTGGTAGGGAGGTATTTTGGTCGGATAGCGGTGCAAGCAACCATTTTGTGAGTAACAGCTCCAAAATGTACAACATCTCGCCTGTTCCCCCCGGCAAAGAATACATCAGAGTAGGCAATGGTGCTCATTTGCGCGTGGAGTGTGTCGGTAGTGTCAATCTGGCATTCCATATGGCAGGAGGCCGCTCGAGAGAAGTGGATTTTTGTGCCCAATTGACAGACGTGTACGTAGTGCCGGGAATTTCGTTCAACTTGTTCTCCCTGCACCAAACGCAGAAAAAGCACAGGATAGTGTTGGATGAGAGGGGTGTGCACCTTTTCGGCGGTCGGCTTAGTTTCGCATATTCGGATATCGGATGCTCTCTATCGGCCACCCGCTTGCCCCCCTCGTACCGCGACGGTGATGTAATCCCCTCTACCGTTGTCCCTCCCCCCGTTGTCCGCCAAGCGTCTCCGCCTGGCGTTGGCACTGGCCTTTTCGCCCAAAACCCCCCTCCCCCTTCTCAATTTTCAGGATCGGGTGCAGGGTACGGTCCGAGTTCGAGCTTCCCGTCCATCGGTACTGCCGGTGTTGTACCTTCGGCTTCGAGCATCCCGTCGAGCACTTCCGGGGTAGTACCTCAGAGTAATGTTTCCCCGTCTGTCGATGTTGATGTAGTGCCTACGTGGATCCGAGATTTGCAGCCTTCCCTAGCCGCAGCCATCGCCTCATCCGACGTCCTGTCCCCCTCAGTCGTGAACCCGAATGTGTCGCGAGAGATAGAGATCATGCCCCTTGAGTCCCAGGATAATTTGCCTTTGATGGACATGAGTATGTTCTTGGATGTAGGCTTGATGAACGGACAAGACTCGGTCCCACCGGGTGACTTTTATCCCGACCCATTAGGCGTGTGTGAGTCCGTGAAGCCCCCCGTTGCGTTCGCTGTGATGCAAGATGAGTTGGACGCGCTCAAAAACTTCGTTGCCGAGTGCCGTGTGAAGCAAGATGTAGGTCCCCCCTCCCTTTCCCATGCTTTGGCGATTATCGCCCCCGGTGGTCCAGCGTTCACTGTAGGAAAACCCACGTCCACCATCGACATTAATTTGTTCCACGCTTCCACCGGCCACGTGAATGAATTTTTGATGCGGGAAACCGCCAAGCAGCAGGGTGTTCAATTGGTGGGGGAACTGCAGCCATGCGTCGGCTGCATCGAGGCGAAGGGCAGGAGGGCCCCGGTGCCGCGGCGTGGAGTCACCCGCGCGGCGGTACCGTTCGGCAAGGTGCACATCGACATCACCGGCCCGTACTCTGAGGCGTTCGATGGTTCCCGTTACCTGATCATGTTCGTGGACAGTGTGTCGCGGTGGTAATGGGTGTGCGGCATGCCGGCCAAGAGCGACACCCTGACGTACACGCGGCGTTTCCTCGCCGACCTGAACGGCAACGGCCCTCTGGGGTGTTTCCGCATGGACAACGCGGGGGAGTTCACGAG